AGCTTTCATGGTGCCAAAATTCAGTTTGGATGGAGACTGAAAAAGCCCAAAATTTCAAAATGATTCTAATTGGGATTATTGAGTAATCTCAATGGCAGTCTTGAAAACACCTACATTAAAATTTGGAGTCAAATCGAATCTTCATTGTTTCCTCAGAAACTAAGCTAGGTACAAAAATCACACAGGGGATAGAGAAGTTGTTATTTCAATAGTTCAATCTAGAAAAAATATAAAACTCAGAAAAACCGATGGTGTACAATGACATTCACCATGAATATCGATAAATTTACCAACTGTGACGCCACTGGAAATATTATTTAGAATCTAATTGCACTTTAAGAAGCTCTATATATTACTATCAACAAAACCACAACGTTTTATATTGAAATTGATGGGACGACGATTGAGAAATGAATAGAAAAAAGATTTTTCATGAAAATATACCCTGTATCTCGAAAACGAAGCAAGTTAGGACACATATTTATATGAACGTTATTTCCTAAAATTTCACAAGGAACCACCTTTTAATTTTTTTCGGTGTTATTTAGATACACCCTGTATAGATTATCTCATTGTCCTATATCAAATTTGAAAGGTGACGTTCCTAGAACGAGAAGAGTGTTTTGGAAACTGACCTATTTTTCACGTTGAAATATTAACTTTTTACATTAATCAGAAACATATTTCAATTAGCAGTTAGGTATAGACAGATATATGATTTGTTTTAATCTTATACACTCTAAGAAAACTGTTGGTGTCTTTTTCAATTCCAGACTGTTGGAATTAACACTAACCCTATTCAACACCAAAATTGTACTATCCTATCATAAGTATTGGGAATTTGATATCGTGGGGTTCGACGGTGTAAATCGTGATACATTATGGCAAATCTGAATTCGGAATCACACTTTTCATACTCATTATTTGAATTCAAACTGTAAACATCAAATTATTCTATTCATGAATCACAAAGTTGATATATTCTGAAAAATTATCATTAGTAGGTGTAATTTTTCAAAATTCATATCATGAAAGTGATCAACTATCATATTTTTCATGTGACTATCAATTTTATGAAGTATCCATATTCACACAAATAATTCCTCTTCAAGATATTCACCTAGTAATGAGATTGATAACCAAACCAGTGTATTTTCTGATATCACTGGAATAAATGACACTGGAATAGTTGTAAATCAACACCACTAATATCAGAAAAACATCGGAACAAATTTGTCGCCATACACTGTTGCCACCTCGTCTATTTTATATTACTTAAACCTATTTCATATATAACACTTTGAACATCGTGGTGTAAGATAATGATTAGAAGTTGATGAATTCAATATCAATATGATGCTCTCTAATTAACGACTGCAACATTCTGTATCATTACTGCAGAGCTTACATGCATTTTGGTCCACCATTCGTCAAACGTACTCGACAGGCTGAGTCAGCACATCATCGTTTTGTCGTCAATCTAGAATTATGTCAAACAACTCCTTTCCAAAACACGTTTGTCAATGGAACGACGAAGCTTCGGTATTCTTTGCCAACGGAAGTATTTCCAAGAACTTATGAGGACAATTTCATTTAAGTACCTACTGCCACAGTTTAAGGAATGGGTATCAGTTGAGTCACTCGCCTGAATGTGCCGATCTCCCTACCCCTTGCCTCTCGACCCGCTCAGAGAGCCGGGGCCATCATTCGGTTCCCTGGCGTATACATAGTGGCTCTCGCTTTTGATACGTACGGTTGTCCGCTATTTTTATTGGGTGCGTCAGAAAAGTGTTTCATTTGGTTGCGGCGATAATGCCTGCGTCGACATTTTGAATTCAAACACTCTCTCTAACTTTGGAGCCTTAATGGGAACTGAAAAACAAATCTCTTTTTTGAAAGAAATGAATGATTCATCCAAAGATTTACGTGTAGAAAATATAGATGGCAAAAATGTAACCAAACAGTTGAAATTCATTATCGGTTGACGATTGACTATCAATTCAATTTTCATTTTATTCAACAAATTATAGGCTAAAGGATATAGATACATGTTCACTCGAAATCTTAACCAAGATTGTTTGGAAAATATTCTCGGACAAATTAGGAACTGTTGTGGAAATGTTGAGAATCCAACTCCCATACAATTCTGTCGTTCGCTCAAGAAAATGTTTGCTTTGAAATATTTTGATCAAACGGACGGTGCAAATTGAACGGGAGATATTAATGAAGTCTTATTGAATATTGAACATCGTTGAAAATGTAAATCAAAATCTAATAGCTAAACCTACATACACTCCACTTAGAGTCTATACAACCGATTATCGAAATCTCCAAAGTTAGTCTATGCATGTAACCGGCTATTTCTTGAGGAAATGTCTTTTACAACATTCATGTGGAATTTGGAGCAATTTTCATAAACTCAATGATTTAAGTGACAGGGAAACCGTTTTTTGCAACCACAAATCTCATAGTAACACAACATCGGGAGGTTTAGTTGTGCCCTTTAGAAATATCGTCGAATTTGTTGTAGCATTGGAGAATATTTTTATTCGTGAATTTAAGGAACTGGTTCCTCAAGGAAATATTGGAAGCACACTGAAAAAACACTTCGCAAAAATAACTTTCAGTCACCCGTGTGAAAACTTTCCTTTAGACTAGTTCATTTGCAGAGTCCGAATTTATTTCACATTGAAATTTGCTAATCGAAGCATAAAAACCGGAAGAGTATCCAAAGTGAATACAATACTCTCAATACTGAAGCATTCGTAATTATTCCTTATAGAATATGTAGTCAATTATCAGTATTAATATCCCTGGGACATTGATAATAGACGAGATAATTTTATGACCATCGAAAGCTCGTTTCTTGGTAACAGCCCGAAGCGAAGGCTGAGGGCTGTTATCAAGCAACGAGCTTGATAAATTTTTCATAAAATTATGAGGCATTTGTCAATGCCCGAGGGATATTCGGCAGAAAATGTTTTGAAGTAGCCGAAGTCAACCGTGTTGTCATAGTGATTGATAATTACACTGAATGTAGTTATCATGATGAAGTTGGTTTGATTAGTTGTGTTCAATTATATGACCAAAAATTCACTGATTACATTGGATTTCTACTCCAGCAGAACATTTTGATTGGGATTTCTCTCGGGATTTCTTTTGATATACCCATTAGTATTTAATTTTTTTGTTTTGGTATATGTACTCAATTATTATTGTCGATTTTTGTAGAAATTTTCAAATAAACCTTAATTCTTAATTTATTTTTGATTCATTCGTACCTATTCAATGCCCAACCACGCCTATCACATGAATATTTCGACCACAGTCAACATTCGAATCATCACAGGTACATATGCATCGCGCGAAATAATCTTTCATACCCCCGTATCTACAGTAAATTCCTGGAATCGGTGCCGCAAGCAACCGCAAGGAACACGTGCAGCGGCCCCTTCAGATCTCTGAACATGAAACGGCCGACGACGAGTGAGTTAACTGATACCCATTCCTTAAACCATTATCATTATCATTAAATTATCATGAAACTAGGTACATATACTTAGTTATTTCATATCGTGATGCTTGGCAACCTTGCGCATCTTCTTTGTGTACGTGCTCCTATCACTTCCACACTCCAGACTCCAGAGTTCCACTGCCATTCGTAGTAAACGTTGAGCAATATTCAGCACTGTCTCTCTTCACTGTGCTTTCAATAAGCACGGATCATGTTGATCTTCCAGTGTAAAGTGCATGATTGTTTCTATCATGAAGTGTATAAAAATAAAATTCAAATGCTCAGAAAAGTTTATTGAGGAGTCAAAATCAGAAACAATTGTCTCGCTGTTTCGACACAACACCAAAATCGATGGGACACAGAGCTACCACAGGTAATACAGGTCAAAATGAGTTGATTGGACCTAACTTGTTTGTATAAAAGAATGTACCGTTTGTCCGTGAGGTGAGTTTAAAGTTTTCATAAATAAACACATTTTCGTTCGCTGATCGCTGTTCAAAAATGAGTGAAACAAATTGGATGATATTCGACGAAAGTGCATTTTAGAGTATAACTCTTCTTTCAATAATCGAAGAATCCCGAAAGAAATTGTAGATCTTTTTAAAATATGTTTATTTATGAAAACTCTGAACACGTCTCACGGACAAACGGTATATTTTTCGATAAAAAGAAGTTGGGTCCAATCAACTTATTTCGACCCGTATTACCTGTGGTAGCTCTGTGTCCCAGCAATTTCGAGATGCCCTGTATATCTCAACAAAAATATTTCACACTATAATGAATTACAAATTGATTGAACATACCTAAATGTGTCAGAATTCTGAAGATTCGTGTCAGATGAAGAACTGTCCTCAATTAGAATTGACACAATTCCGGTTAAGAATTCAATGATCTGGTGTAAATAAACACCGTATTCATTGTAGATTTGATCATTTGATGATGATTTTGTAAACTCATTCCGGTGTGACTTTAAATATATTGATGTTTTTCATGATCAATAGTATTGTGATTCACACCAGACCAGTGCGAACTTTATCAGAAAATATCGCACATAACACACCAGACTGGTATTACTTTACATCCATTTCGAAATCACAAATCTCATCTGGAAATGTGCAGAGATAGCACCAAACACCGGTGCTCTACAAATAGGTGTGAATTAACACTGAAATATGCAGGACCTCTAAGGAAATCATTCGGTGTTAGCTGGTGTCAACTGGTGTTCCAGTTTTTCTTAGAGTGTATAACTAGAGTTTCCTTGGTGTATGTTCCACCAAATCATTAAATTAATGTGACAGATACAACTTACTTTTTCTGCCTTGACACCAAACATGACCATTGGTGGAAGGAAAATCCTACCTTTCTCTGTATTCGACCATGCAGGGAGAATCCCCAAATACACCCCATTTCCCCTAACCCTTCAGCAATGCGCATCGCCCACACGATTTCATGTTCACTATAAAAGCTAGTTTTCACAAGAATTTCCGCTAGTTTTCCAGACAGAAACTTTTTGGACTCAACATAAGTATATAGTTTGTAGTGTAGGATATCCGCGAGTTTATGTAAGCAAAGAATACAATTTCAACAGGGAGTTTCAGATTTGAGTATACTTATATGATAACTAGGGTAGTAATTGAGTTTTGTACATACAGTGTCATTCATAAAGTCGGCATCATATAGGAATAACTTTTAATATTGATTTATTTCGAAATTCGAGTGGACTGCTCACTGCTCGGTTGGAACGTTTGCTGAGAAAAGTTGTCTCTATTAACATTTTACATACTGTGTGTCCCAGCTAAAACTTGTCACCCCCAAATCTCCGATGTCGTTGAAAAAATTGAAAATTGCTCGGACAGGTCGATTTCAATTTGGCGGGGGACAAATGTTGAACTATTTTCAAATACAACACCCTGTATTTCATTGCATTATTAGATTCTCCCTGAAGAGCTGCTTTCTTCAATGCATCACACGTGTTGTCAAGCGGGAATGATTTCAGAGATATAGGGTGTTCAAAATCGACATTTTTCTACTTTAATATTTTGTTGTGTCTAAACTATTCATTATCGGTCAAAACGGCTTTTATGTTAACTCAACATTATATTTACTATCTACTGACATTCAATTGGTACAAATACAGGGTTGTTCAAGATTCAGAATTCTGATCGCCCTGTATTTGTTCCAATTAAATGTCAGTAGATTTGAGTAGATAGTAAATCAAAAGTTGAGACAGGGCATGAGAGCCGTTTTGACCGATAATGAATAGTTTCGACACAAATAATCCTGGAGTTGAAAAATCGCGATTTTGAACACCCTTTATCTCTGTAATCATTCCCGCTAGACACCAAGTGTGATACATTGATGAAAGCAGCACTTCAGGGAAAATCTGAAAATGTGATGAAGTACAGGGTGCTTCAAGGTATCAATTGAAATCGACCTGTCCGAAAGATTTTCAATTTTTTCAACGACATCGGAGTTTAGGGAAGTGACAAGTTTTAGCTGGGACACACTGTATGTTTCCCGATATTGAACGTTCCATAACAACTTTTAGTTTTTGATAATATTTTTCCAATTTCTACGAGATGTCCGTCATAATAAAAAAAAAATTAACACCGACAAAACTATTTCATTCTCTGATAGCTTATTTATCAAGCTACTAACTTTCAATCAATAATTTTCGACATATATATGATTTTCTTCAGAAAATAGTAATCGCCGCTTCAAATTTCTGTTATGTTTGATGCAAAGTAATATCAACTTTCAGATAGTTGATATTCGATGTAACTACTATGTCCTGAAATTCTATACCTGAAGCCAATCGACCTGTATGTGACCAAGATGAAAGAACTCTTTATCTTGATTCCAGCATAAACAATATGTTATCGAAATCGATATTGCTCAGCTTCCTCTTCGTGATCCTAGCCTCAATTTTATTGAACGATGGTGTCCAGGCACGTATGCTCCCAACCAGATCGAATGGAGACAGGGTGGACAAACTTCGTGAGATGCTCAAAGAAGTGAGTAAGGTCTATTCGGTAAGTCACATAAAATTAACATCCCTTTATTTCCATACAAAGATGATATTGAAGAATGAGTCAATAATAATAGTACTTCCAAAAAGATATAAGAGAGTATAGTAGGTGATGACTGATAACCATGAATAATAATATTCTTACTATAATTTTCGATAAACTTATCTAGTAGAAGTTGAAACAACATTCCATCTTTGAAAAATCCATGTCTGAGAATGCAATTTTCAATGATACAGATCATGATGTTCATTAGAGAAAATTCCAACCATTCACGTATCATCTATGACACGCTTCATCAATATGCAAAAAGGAGAAAAGGGCAGAGAAAAACCAAGATATAAATTTTTTCGCTGAAAAAACAAGATACAATTAACTCAAATTTATTTGCTTTGGAATAAAATCTGAAATCAAATTCAGTGTGTGAAATTTCATCTCTGTTGACAGGTTGTGAAATGTCACTTTTCATAAATTTCTGATTTACCACGGGAAAAAAGTGACTACCTTTTTTCCCGGATATACAGGGTGGTCCGTTTTTTAATACGGAAAATTCAACAGCGTATAGTATTCGTTGAAATAATAGAAAAACTTACTATGAACATATACTTTTAAACGCTTCGTTTTTGAGATATTGGGTGTCAAAAATACGCTTCTGAATATATTTTTTCAATCAAAAGTTAGAAACGGTAGATAAATTAACGACATTTTTCACGGATACTAAACTTTCTGAGTTTTATTAGATTAAATAAAAATTATTCATAAAAACTATTCAGTGGCGGCTGAATCTGGGGTGGCGAAGGTAATAATTACACAAATGTTTCGGGTAATTATTTTTCATTTATTTTTCAAGTTTCAATGAAAAAAGCTCGCTTGTAACATTTTATAACATTTTTTAATTAAATAATACTACTTGATATCAATTAAAGAAGTAGGGTATGCTCAGTTGCTCACTGTTCACTGTTTATATGTGCTGTCACTCTGAAAGTTCTGTCAAAGAAATAACAAACTGGAGTTATTCCGTGTTTTTATCAAGAAGTGTAATAACTTTATGCCAATTTTGCCGTTTTGTCAATATGCCTATGGGATTTAGTACTGAAGAGTATGCAGATATTCATTTCGTTTACGGATTTTGTAATGGAAACGCAGAGGCAGCAGTTCGGGAATACAGAAATCGCTTCCCTAGGAGAAGGGTACCTAATGCACGAGTCTTTATCAATACTCACTCACGTTTTAGTATAAAAATATATATATATATATAAATAAAGTGAACAACGATAACGACTTTTTACATAAAGTCTTATGGACTTGAACACCCTATATCTCGAAAACGAGGCATTTGAAAGTATATGTTCATAGGAAGTTCATTTATTATTATAATAATAACGAGAACTTAATGCTATTAAATTTTCCGTATTAAAAAACGGACCACCCTGTATGTCAAATACACTGTTCTAAGTTTACATTGTTCGAAAAAAGTCTAATAGGTAAGTGTATTTGTAATTTTGACCCCTTCAACAAACAATAGTAGGTCTTGAGAATCAGAATATTTCAGATTTGTCCACATTTTCGAAGAAGAGAGCTATCTTTAGTAAACCGGTTCCTAACTAGGAGAGTGTTGAAAACGAAGCGTTTTGAAATCGAACACACTGATATTTAACAGCACTTTCAAATCCTAAAACAAACATTTGATTTCATATGGAATTCGTAGTCACTATAATAATATCTAAACGAGACTGGAATTATTTCAAATGAACATCTGATATATTGAAAATGCTCTGAAAATTAACAAAGTAAATGCCAAGTGTCGATAAAAACAAGATGAAAACCATAATTTGACATTGTGTTACAGGATTTTATTGATACACACTGGTTATAAAAAAGTGTAATTGGAAATAAAACAGGATGTCAATGCTGTGTGACGTATACGCTGAATCATTGCATCCTAACAACATCCTAACATCCACCTTGGCATCAACATTAACGTAATCATCATATCCAATCAGCATAAACCACATATTATTCTTCACGACATATTTCAGAATACATTTTCAATAATCATTCACATGGCATAACGCATACTCATTGAAATTTCCTTTGCCATACATTTTCATAATTACTCATGATCATAAATTATTGCAAAGTAGGATTTTCATTAGGGTTGTTTTTACTTATAGGTATAATAAATATCGCCTAGTTGTTGTTGAATTGAGATGGTTTTTCTTATAATACGCTAATGCCCTTAGATACCATGCAGAGAAGAGTCATTCGCCTGGTAGGTGATGCCACACTCACTATCTCTTTGACCTTCTTTTTTTTTTGTTTATCGCTTGGAGCGCACGAAAAGAAATCCCTATAATGTTCAATGAACATCGTGCGTTCCTAGGGAGGATAGGGACAGGAGGTAGGTATTGGAATTTTTTTTTAACTCCTGGCGATTATATTATGTTGTTGGGAATACTTCCTCATGCAATGTATTCCAGAGCCTATCCGTTCTATGGATGAAGGAGTTTTGATAAAGTGCTGTTCGACATCTTTCGAGGTTGACAACGAAAGGATGTGCTGACTGGGCTTATCTAGTTCGTCTGACTAGTATTGCTAGTGAAGGGATGATAGAAAAGTCGGCGACCATTCACTTTTCAATAGATACTTCCACGGAAAATGTTCCTCAGGAATCCCTGCTATAAATCATTTGCACCATAAATGTCTAAATAATGCATCGTTCATCAAGACTAATCAGCAAACCATATGTTAAGTGTTTAAGAGGAAAATGTTGCTTGGCCCTGATGACTGATATATTGTCGTTCTAAAATTGTTCTAAAATTGTTCTGAAATTGTTCTATCCGTCATTCGGTTGCCCCCTTACGAGCAACCCTCAGAAGTCTTCGAGAGTCTTGTGCGAGCAAGGAATGACGGGGGCCTTACCTTTTAACGTGTGATCCCAAACACTTTCTTGGGCCATCAGAAAAATTTCTGCAGTCGCTGGGAATTGAACCCACGACCGGCAAGCGAATGCGGATTAGAATATTGACACTCTGTCCGCACGGCTACCTGATGGCCTCTCCTCTAGTGTCGAAACCTCTGTATATTTCTAATCGATCTCTGAATTTAGTTCCCATAACCATGATATTTATAGATTATTATATTATAGAATAGAATATGTTTTCATCCCATAGGCAATTTAACATTGGTAGGTTATATGACTTCACTCGAGTAAAACTCATTTCGGACATCAAATCCTCATTAGTAACCTGAAGTCCAGTTATTCAGTTAATTTGTTGACATAACCACTGTCAATTCAGAATTTCTTTCCACGTCCTGTATGATCAATTTATCATACATCCAAAAACTCACTTTTTTTATTTGTTTACCAAGGAATCATAGGATTGAAATAGTTTTTCACAATATTCTGACATACGAATCATGTTTTTTGGCTATTCATTATTTCATCCATGCCATCACATTGTGCTATTGTACAATGCACTAAAAATGCAGCGAAGTACGAAGGAATATGATTTTTCAGGTAAATAGTGATCTCACATAGTTTTCATTATAAAATGTTGTCATTTCTCATTAGAATTCCTTTTGCCACTTCTGCAATAGAAGCTTATACTGTTAAAAGAGTGAAAATGTCTACAACACACACGATCATGTTTTGTCAGCATTTCAGGCCAGTCATCCCCTTTCATTGCTAAAATTTCCGTACTCTCTTCTTGCCTTCTTTTACAAACTTCATGAGTATTTCTATTAGCTCCTATTGCAGAAGGAATTCCAATGAGAAATGACAAAATTTCAAAAAGAAAACTATATATGAGAGTTGACTATCGAGGTGACTATAGTTCTTTTATCTTTTATTTTAGTCTCTCGCTGAATTTTTTGTGCTTAGTACAACAGCACAATATGATGGCATGCTTGATTCAATGAATAGCCGAGGAAGCACTAATCGTATGCCAAGATAATTGTAAGAACTATTTCAATGTTTTACCTCCAGGGTCGGTTATCTGACAGATCTTGCACGCAACCTATTGCATTTGATAACCTTTGAAATTTTTAGATTTGACTGAAAGCGCTCCTTCGCCAATTCCTCGGTGTATTTCGGTGATTTGGCGAAGGAGCATATGCAATTTCTATCACCACCAAAATGTAACTCGACGTCAGCGAAGGTAGGGTTCTGGTAGGGTCCATGGTTGTTCTCATGGTTGTTCAGGGATAACTACTACAAGAGTGTAATACAAGTCAGAAGTATAAATCAATATAGTTCGAAAAATACAAGTTAAAATTAATTTGATTCTGAGATAAAATTCGATCGATAATTTTTTTCACATGTCAAAATGTGACGTTTTTGTTGTTTCAACCAATAGCAATCCATTATTCTAGCCAATAATTCGGTATTATACTGATAACACTGCATGGTCCCCGATTATTCACAATGAACTATCAAAACAAAAATATAAATAAAGAGTAAAGACTCAACTGCGGTAATTCTCTCATTCTCTAATCCTACGGAATGTGATGAATATTGCGAATATTTTGTGAAATAGAGAGTGTTCTGGCAATACCAATGATAGTTTCTTGTAATGCGCATTGTTACCTAGCGAGACATGAGAAATCAAAAACATTGACACCTTAGTGAATCAGAGAGTTCTTATCTACTACTTACGTCATATGATATCCTATTCCCTATAAGGTCAGTAAACAAGCCATTTCAATAAAAATTTATCAGTCCTATGGACTGATGGACGCATATCTACAACCAATTTAACTTTACGTGTCTCGTTGGTTGCATGAAGTTGCATAGTATTATGTATTATGTTCCCATTTCTTTCGAATTATTTAGTAGGTTAGCAGATAGGTTATATTCTAATTTTCAGAATTATGGGATCTTGTCGAAGAGAGGAATTATGAGTTCGTAGAGCAAAGTAAAGTATGTAACGCGTTTATAAGTTCTTCTAGACACTCGTTTATTAAACAGTCGCACCGGTCTGCTGCGCACTCGTGCTTAAAATTTT